TTCCCCCCGCCCTGGCGGGAATGCAGGAGCTCAGCATACATGGTCATGGTCACATCTAAAGCAGCATACACGAGTGGGGGAACTCCCAGCAGCCACATATAACCCTCTGCTCTGCGTGCGCTGGCACAGTAAATGCCCACCAGGATTGGTGGGCTTGCAGCCCGAGCCATGAAACCCATATAACCTCAATCCCTGGTTTTATGGAGTGCTTTTGCTCGTGTCCTTCTGTAACTATGAGCGGCAGAGCACTTCCGCCTTGCATGGAGAAAGGGGACCCTCTCCTGCCTCCAGGAGCACTGCTATGAGTCTGCCAGCACCTCACTGAAAGCAGGAGGTGTCACCAACTACAACGCGGTTGTAACAGAAGCAAATGAACGAGATAGGGTTCTGCTGCTAAATTGCAGCCCAGTTATGCCCCTCTCCAGCAACGTCTTTTTGGCAGAGTTTCTTGCCTGGAAATAAAAGCTCCATGAAAGGAAAAATAAACAAACAAAAACCCTCAAAAAAACCCAAAACAAACAAAAAACAAGTGACCTAAGCAAGAAATAGGAATCTTGTATCTACTTTCTGTTACCTGTCTCTTGAGTGGAAATTTGGAGACTTTCTGTACAGTGGGTGTGTTCATGGCTTTTTTGTTTGGCATTTTCATCCTGCAGATAATCACAATGAGCAGCACCAGGATGAAGAGAACAAAGCCAGTGCCGTAACTGAGAATGCCGGCGTACACCGAGCCCGAGTCATCCATTTCCATGAGCTCCTCTGCTGCAAGGCGACAAGAGACGGGAGTCAGGAGAAGGCGGGCGGCTGCCCTCGCTCCGCTCCACACATGCAACACCCACAGTCTGGGGAGGACTTGCTCATCTAAGCCCCTTCTTGGACTAACTACAGCAAAGTGACTCTCCTAGGCCAGTGGTTTTCCACCTTTAGTGATTTCTAGTGCAGTGGGTTTTGTGGTAGCAAACTGAGCTTGCTGATGTTGGTGTGGCTTGTGTTTTGGGGGGGTAATTTTACTGCCCTTTTACGCAATCCTTGGGCTTCTCCAGGCCTTCAGACCACTGGTTGAAAACCACTGCTCTAGACAGAATCTTCACACGTCTGTGCAGTCCCTCCAAACCAGATCTTGCTTCTCCACACATCCACACTAAAAAATCCTGGATGTCTTGGATGTGCGAAGACTGCAGGATGGGGTTTCGCTCTACTTTGCCTACCAGGCCACACTGACAAGAGATGCAGTGTGGACATGGGACTCGAGCAAAGATTTCCACCAGATGAGTGCCTGCCTTGAAGGAGCAAGGGGCTCAAAGGGCATCCAGGGGAAAGGCATCAAACCAGGGAAAAAGTCTCCCGAGAGAAATCTACGTAATTATTTCAGAATAATTCAATTCTTTGGGAAAGAGCCAGAAGGGCTGGCCCAGGAGGATTGCAGAGCTGGGAGAAGATGGCATGACCCCATCAGCACTACAGCTGATGGCTACCAGCTAGCAGAGCCTTTTCGGCATGCACGAACCTCAGCTGTGCATCTCCCCTAGGTCCTCTCAGGACAGGCACTTCCACCGCAGAAAGGGGACACGGTGAGGCTGGTTTTCTGTTCCCCAAGGCCGGGTTGGCACCTGAGGAACATCTGGCAGTGGAACGCTTTATAATGAAGTCTTACTGGCGGCGTTGCTGCGTTGACAGCTGCCCTTCATTTCACTATAAAGTTCCATTTCAGGCTTTTTTTTTTTCTTTTGTTCTTTGCTTAAATAGGACGTGTGAGTTCATACATTCTGAAAACATTTTGTAATGGTCGAATGATACAATATCGGGAAATCCTTAAAATAACAGAAACATTAGCACTCTAACCAAAGGGGTTGATTTCTCATCCAGGGGATGGCAGAAGCAGAAACAGAATCAGACACCAAGCTGCTTTAGAGCTGGCAAATAAAGAGAGGTAAGACCAGCAGATCCCACCTGCAGCAAGGGCAGGTATGGAGGAAACCCTCTTGAGCCCCAGTAAAAGTGAGTATGACCGAACCACCGACAGAGTTGAAGTCAAGATTAGAAATGCCAAAGTTTCCAGTTACAAAACACACCTGGAAATGGATGTGTTTGCAAGATAGATCCAAATGTGGTCTATAGCCAGGGAGTCCAAGTAAGACGTTGGGATTTCATGTGCCTGCTGCTTTTATAGGGAGCTCCTGAGAATACTCCAGGTCTTTTCCTGCAGGCTCTGCAGGCATATCACCCATCAGCTTCAGCATGAATATTGCCTGAGATGTCTTACAGGATGGTGTTTCCCTTCTCCAATAGCCAATTGTGCAGGTGATGGGACACCAAAGCCTCTTCCCCTTCTCCTGGAGGGCAGATCCCGCTGTTGCATATTCTGTGCTGGCTTCATTGTCGACCAGGCCTTTGCACATGAAAAGCACACAAAATTGAGGTCACTCTGCCTTCGGCTTTTAAGCCTGCTGCAGCTTTCATTGATTTCAGCTGGAGCAAGCAGCATTCAACGCCTCCGGGAGCCAGGACTCCGGGGTTCGGCCCGCAGATGCCTCTTATCGACCTTCTGTTTAAGATATTTATCTGGGCCTGGTCATCCATGAAGCGGAAATAATGCTGCAGGCAGGGAAGGGGGTATCACACCAAGCACTCATGAATCTAATTTTAGGCAGGACAGGAGGTTACACAGAAAGGTTCCTCCACAAGATAATGCACAGGCAGGGTCCAATTTAGGTGCCCTGGCTCATCTGATGGGAGAGTTTCCTTCTCCTGTTGATTACAGAGGCGACATAAGACGAAAAAGTTCTTAATTTTGGCACCTAAATACAGACTCCTTAAAGCAAATGCTGTGAATACCTCCCTGCTATCTGAACCGAAATGTTCCAGGGCATTTTGTATCATTACTGCAATCTAGAAAATGCATTTAAGCCCTGAGATGAAATGCAAAATGAATATGCCAGCTATTAATATGCAACAGGGCTACCTGTGGCTCTCCCTCCTACACCAGCTGTGCAGCGGCACATGCACCCTCTTCTAAGCAAGGGAGCTTTGGCAGAAACTTGGCATTTCTAAGTTAAACATCAGGGCATCCTTGAGAGGAAAGGATAGGACAGCGCAGAAGGAAATACCTGGTAGAACCGTCAGCCAAGCAGAGTGATGTGAGAACCCAATAGAATTCCCTGCGAGACAAGTATATTCCCCAGCATCCTCAAAAGTAACATTTCGCAAGTACAGAATCTCTAGCTCCTTATCCGTTGTGTTAACACCTGCCGTCTAGGGGGGAAAAAAAATACACACATATAGAAAGAGGGAAAACAGAGAATGAGCCACATTCCCAGCAAGTGTGAGGACACCACAGGCAAATTTCAAAAGCAGATTAAGATTTTTTTTCCAATGGCCCATCTTCCACATTTATTTATTCATTCCCCTTTGCAACCTGTAGTCAAAAGCAAAAAAAAAAAAAAAAAAGAATTTTCATATTATGTTGTCTCTTTAGTGAAAAGTGAAAATTACAGACTGGAAAATGGAGCAAAAGCGTCCAAACGAAAAATTGCCCCCACAATATGACTGACTGGGGGTTAGTAGGGTGAGTACAGGGGGAAGAGGCGTGTAAGGAGAAAAAGAAAGACAGAAAGAAACAAGAAAGGAGGGGAGATTAGTGGGGAAAGACTCAAGTGCTGATCAGATGAACATCTGATATTTTATCAGTTCATCATGTATCGAAAGACTTTTTGGAATTATTTTCAGAACGGGCATTTTGAAGCCCGTTTCACATATTCACTGTCCAGGTCTTGGAGCTGCAGTGTTGGCTGGTTGCAGGAAGGTGCCTCACGAGGAGCTTTCCTGCAGCATCACTGAGCCGCGCTGCCCGTTTGCTTGCATGAGTCAATGTCGATACGTATTTCCCAAGTGCTACTCAAAAGGAGCAGAGCATGTGTACTCATTTGATCAGTGTTATGGGCAAAACTCTTTAAATGGCTTAGTTTTCCAGAGCTTTGAGCGTCATAGGTCATTAGCATGCAATTCTGTTATCAGCACTCAATTGTAAGGAAGAGAAAGGAATAAAAGCATGAGGGGTTGATAGCAAAATTTGACAGTCATTTTATTGTGGGAATTTTTCTGTGGCAATTGCTGTGTAAGCATTACATTCTTGTAAAAAAATAGCAAGAAAATAAGATAAAGCCATTCAGCATCAGTTGACAGGGTATAATATAAAATGAATAGTAATTTTAATCACTAGCTTCTTAAAATGTTATAGCTCATTCTTGCAGTTGCCAGGGCCTTGGGACAGAGTCTGTGGTTTACCTGGTTTTGGTTTGCGAATGTGGAGCCAAAATGGTTTTTCGGCTATGCCTACGAAATTGTTGGCTCTACACAGATATTCTCCTTCATCTTGTTCTGTCACATTGAACAGATTTAGGTTAGCATCGGCTTCAGCGTTTTTACTGATCCAAGACTGCAGGAATAGACAGAAACCTGAACTTCAGTAAACCAAACAATACCTCCATCCAACCTATATCAGCTAGGATTGACTATCCATGACTTTTCTCTTTGACTGTGGAAACAACCCCTGTTCACCCTGCGGTGAGAGACCCACCGAAGACCTGGGTGAAGAAAAGAAGTTGCATTTGGCCCCCAACCACATGTAACTCAATTCCCTTCCCTTTCTGGGTGTCCCTCGTGCTTGAGATGCACACGAAATTTCTTTTTTCATAAAACATAACAGTTTCCCACTCATCCATCTGACAGCAGTCGCAGACGCAATCGTTTCTTAATAACTCAGCAGACAGGAGCACCAGAGAGGGCTTAAGCAGAGATCTGTGTTTGCAACCCAGCTCAGCAAACACTGTTTCAATTATCAGATTCCAAAATAGCATTTGGAAACAAAATATAAGCAGCGGCGGTCTGAAACTCGCTGCTGACTTTGCCTTTCAGAAACTAGCTGTAATTTTTTCCACTGCTTATAGGAGCCTCTTCTTTACTAAATAAAGCGGTGCATGTAAATCAAGCAAACTTCAGTCTGCAAAGCAGGCTTTTATTTCTCCTCTTCCAAGCTGCCACAACAGCACATTAACTTGTTCCTAAACAGTTGTCTTTCTTTCGGTCGAAAACGCACAACTGTTTCGGGTGGCCTCAGGTAGCTTAGGGAAACTCTAGAAAAATATCAGTTTGATTCTGGAAAAAGCATATAAAATGCTTGCCTTTCCCCGTTTTGTTGTCAGTCTCTCCCATCCAAACTTAGTGCTTCCAGTTGTGGGCCCTGATCCTGCCAACATGACTCAGAGCCTGTTAAAATCAAACTCGGTCCAATCTATAGGGCACTAGAAACTGAGCCCGGAGGCAGCCTGCTGCTGCTGTCTGCAAAGACACCGTGCAGGTTTCCACACCAAAAATGCACGCTGGCCTTGGAAAAGAAGCAGGCCAGGGAAGAGCCTGCGGACAGGACCCTGCTCCAGCTGCGTCAAAACAGCAGCATCTCACAGAACAAGAGGGAGAAAGACCCTAAAAAGCTTAGGAACCGTCTGTGATATAAGGGAGAGATGATTTTATCTCATCTTGATTAAAAAATGAGCACACACACCCCAACAACAACAACAACAAGCTGAAAAGCATGGAGGAAAAAAAAACAGGCCCTGCCTGATGCAGCTCAACGGAGGCCCAGTACTGGCGCACAAAAGATGCATCCCAAAATGGAAATGCTCCGTGTCCCAGAGCTGATGCCGGCATTAATACAATTCAAAGCATTCCTGATTAACCAGAAGTAGTAAATAGACGTGTGCTGGTCCTATTCAGCAAAAATCAAACCAAACAAAACTTGTGCTTTCAAGCGCCTGCCCGCGCTCCCCTTTGAGGAATGCAGCGCCTTTGCTGTCCGCAGAAGAGAAGGCATTTGGCAATTCTAATTACCTAGCCACCCCAGTGTTGCTCAAGCTTAATTTTAAAACACTGTTTGTATGGGCTATTTATACGTTCTTTGCCACAGCAAAATGGGAGCTTGTGCTTGTGACACAATCTGCTGTTCGCAGTGGCTCTGAACACTTCCCAAAGGTAGCACTTTATCCCATGAGGACCACACACAGAGTTCGGGGACTATATGAGACGGCATGTGACACAGCCAGCTATTCAGAGCTTGGTCCTGTGCTGTGAAACCAGGGGGAAATTCAAATATGCCTAATTCAAACACATTTTCAGGCAGAGACAGAACCTAGAAAGTTTTATCGACTTGCAAGAAGTGTGGGCTGCCAATCCTGAGGAACTGTCTCCAGCCATTTCTTCCAACCAATCTGTTATTTCAATCTGTGTAATTATTTCCAGGATCTCTGGCTTTTATTATCATATATCTGGCTGATTTACAGTTTTGTAGATACTGTCTGATAAGTTTTTTTTTTAATTTTGTACAAGGAGAAAAAGGGTGTGTGGAGCAAGACTGACATGGAGAATGTCCACGCAGAGGACAGATTCAGCTTGAAATGTGACCAATTCTGTTTTCAGATAAAACTGCAGAAGAAAAATGGGTACTATATATTTTAATATATACAAATACAGGGTTACTCAAAAAGGGATGACTTCAAGTGTCCAATATGCTTTTTCACTCTGTATTGCCTACTTTTATATCTGCATTTGTTCAGGAAAAGAAACAAGGGTAGTCAGCTCCCTCTGACTACAGTCTGGGAGCTGCCTTTCAGGAAAGCCTTTTAGCAAAGCACCTAAACACACTGACTTTGTTATGTGAGTTTTTGCTTAGTTAAAAAAAGGCCTTCCTGAGCATGGATAGTAGCAATGCTCAAAAATGTTAGAGGCTGCAGCAACAAGACTATTCCATCTCTCGAATGCTGATAGTGCAGTGTTATTTGGTACATGTGTGCTGCAAAATGTTTACTTGGGAAAGAAAAAATGTGTTTTAGTTGGGAGCCTTTTATGTTAACAAGCCTTGAAAATACCTCTCTTGATGCTGTAAAAAAAAAAAGTTATTTTTACACTTTAGGTCAAATGCAATCTGACAGTTGCCCTGTTGTTATACTACATTTCTCAGAGTGGCCTCAGCTCCTAAAACTGCTTTGCTTATCTGCGCCACTACAGTAGTTGTGTTATCTCTGGCAAGCGAAAGGGTTTGGAACATTGACTTTAGGACATTTTTGCTGTACCCGTCCAAAATCATTGCAGCCCACTGTACAGGCTTACGAGAAAGCATTCCCAACAATTCTCCTTGGCTTGTTCTTCGAAACTTTTTCCTTATAAACTTGAAACTGTTAAGTAAAATGAAACTTGGAGTTCTCAAAAATCTTTTTTAAGTAGTATTTGCCGTTCTATGACTGTGGCACTGAGCATATTCTGTCAGAAGTTTCTGGTTACCATTGTAAATCTAGTTCAAGGTTCATTTATAGACATGTAAATAAAGTTGATGGCCTCCAATGACAGACAGCTGATCTCTCTGCCATGAGTACAGCCTAACCACAGGCACCATGCTTTTCTAAGAAATATCTGCCCAAGGCAGATGCCATCTCTTCAGGACCAAGATCAAGGCAGAGAAAGGACGGCCCCGGGGTGCGAGAGGAAGAAGCGCGTACCAACCTTCAGCACCGTGACATAGGGCGTCCCATCAGGCCCGTACTTGCTGCCGTTGACTTCCACGTGTTTCAGCCACTGGATGTGAGGCTGGGCATCACTGTAGACCTTGCAGTGAAACTCCACGTTGCTGCCGACCACCACAGTCTGGTTAGCGGGAAGCCCCGCTTGCAGGATTGGTCGGTGGGGTGACCGTTCTGCAAGGAAAACAAGGAAATCTAAATTTGCCCATCTTTCTCCAGTGAGGACTCCCCTCTACTCCCTTTGGGGCTATCATAAGGAATGGACAATTCCACTGATTACAAAGAAAGCAAACTCCTCCTTCCATATCCCGTCATGTGCCTGTTAAACATGATCACAATTCAACTGTTAAGGGAAAATAGTGAAATCTCACCTAATACATCCAGTTGGTATGTGTGCCTAATGTTGCCATATTTGTTCTCCACAACACAGGTGTAGTTTCCTCGGTCTGATGGGACAACACTTTCCATCACCAAACTCCACTGCTGGTGTCGCAACTAGAAGAAGAAGTCAAACCATCAAGCCCATGGTAATATATCATCTCTGCCAGAACACTCAAATCAGAAAATTAAGGGTGTGCTCTTGGCTGTGTCTCTTGCAAGCTTGGCCACCATGGATGGACTTCAGAGCAGGCATAGGGATCACAAACAGACTTAATATAAAAAGTAATTAAGACCAATGCATGAAAAGTGTAACACAACGTAACATGCTGTGCTTGCGACGGGGGCTTGTAGATACTTCCACAACAATAATGAAACCAGCTGACAGCAGCCCGGTACATTGCACATTTCATTAGAATAATGAGTACAGAAGGCATTAGCTAAGGTAATCTCTGATTTGCTGACCCACTTTGCCAGACCATTCTAGGACAGTGAGTCCACCAGCTCAAAGCAAGCATCTCTTGTTTGCAGATCTCTGCTGACTGTTATTACCATAACATGTCAAGGAAACAGTGAAGATGATACTTTATTAGCCCACCTACAATGTATTTTTAATATTTGTTCTATGAGCACATCCAGCATGCCATTAAGCTGATTAGAAATAAATATCTAAAACTGAGTTAGTTCCCTAATTAGGGCTTTCTGCTTAGTCACAGGAGCAGGCAATGGAAATCCCCATAAGTGATTCAGCTGTCATGTGGTTCACCCTTTGGGTCATCTCATCCTATCCCACTGACCACAGCAGAAACCTGGACCATGTCCCTAGCTTACAGGCTTTGCTTCACAGTCTAAGGAGATAAATATGAGGCTTTGTCTTCACTATTGCTTTCAGCTATCACTCTCCCACTCGGCTTTTATCTTCCTTGTCAGGACAGAAGAACCAAATCAGTCAAAAACAGAGCAGAAAACATGCCCTGCCTCAAGGCTGGTCCCTAGGATGTCCGGTCAGTCCCTCACTTTCTGCATTAACTTTCACAAGAGCTGTGTCTCTGGATGCGACTCATGTCAAGAGTCACTGGGTTCACAACAGCAGAATGAGTGGGTCTGGACTGATTTGCTGGCTCTGTGCTCCTCCAAAAGGGGTGTATACAATGAGTATAAAGGAAATTACAGATATGGAAAGTAAATCTTGAACTAACATAGAAAGCAACCAACACAAAGAGATGTCCTCAGGATGCACAGTCCATAAAAGCTCTTCAAATCTCTGGATATTAAGCTGACGTCTTCTGTCATCCAAAGCAGAATATGTAATTTTATGAAACATTTTGAAGTTGACTCCAAGGATACAGACGCGGGAGATTACAGTAACACTGCACTACTGAATGTCAAGGGCTGATGGAAAAAAACAAGAGCGTAATTGCTCCTTGGATTCTAGCTGCAGCAGGTGAAGTCAAATACTAAGTCATTTAACCTCTTCAGCTACATGTAAATTGCCAAGGGCCATTTAAAGAGCCAAGTTACAATTTAAGCCGGAATTTTGGAAACTGAAGTTTCCAAAGTGAAGTTTTAAAGTCATAGGACTAGACAGCTTAGTTCTAGATAAGCCAACAAGCCATTTTCACGCAGTCCCTTGCTGTGTAGACCTCAGTGACCCCAGCGACATTGCCGAGCGTCTTGCCTTTCCGATGGGGCTGAATATACCATTACATTCCAGGCTACATGTGGCAGGAGGCTGTGGCTAAACTGTCTTTAGAAAAAAAATTATGTTGAAGATATCTGGTCTGGCCTGATACCTGCCCATCCAGGACTGCAGAGATGGACCTGAATGCAGAAGCAACATTTCACCCTTTGTAGAGCACCATCCTACATGGTGCATCTCTGTAATTACAGAATAACAGAAGCTCTGAGAACTGAGAACCTGAACCAGGAGTTCAGATCTGAACATGCCAGAAAGTCAAGGAAGTTTGAATGCAAATTTTTGGCTGGTTAGTGGTTCATCTCCATACTGCATTGTCTCATGGTTATGTCTGAAGTCTCTATTTAATCTACTTTTCAGCACTGCAAAACATTTGCCTCTGAACTGCCTAGGAACTACTCCAAGGAGAAAGGACTTCAGACATGTGACCAGAACCCTAATCTGAACTATATTGTAAAAGCAGGTCCAAATGAGGTGTTTAGAAATTGTTAGGACACTTTCAAAGAACTTCTCATCATGGTGTTTGTGGTGTGGACTTTGGAGTCTGAACGGAGACTGGAGGCTCAAACTCAGTAGGCAGAACTTGCTTGGAAGCTCTTCTGAAAGCAGCCTTTTTTGTTAGGTTGAGACTGAAGTCTAGATTGAAAGGATAATAAAAAGGGATGTTTCCCATTTAGGAGAGTCACTGCATTTGATAAAACATTAGAAACACAAAGTGATTTAGTGCAGACGTTTATCAAGTGGGTGAAATACTGAAGATCCCTCTGGTTTATTTGGTGTTGTCATTCTTGTCTCCTTGTGAAACAAACATTTTCAGGCACGCTTGGAAACTCGGCCCGTGTTTGCCAGACTGGTATGTAAGTCAGTGCAACGGCCTGGGGAAGGGATAATCCTCCATCTCCCTCCCCCCTCAATCTTCCCTTCTAGGGTCATTTAACACACACAGGCTTACGATATTAGAGATTCCAACAAGGATTTAACCATTAATGCTCTTTGGGAAATTTCATACGGTAAGTCATATGAATTTTTTTCTCCAGTTAAGGATAAACTATAACAAAACCAGGTTAGCCTGGATTTCATTTTTCAACACCTTTTCTTTTCTCTTTCAGATATTACCAAGGGTTTCAATGAATGGAGAATATCAAAATGTAAATTACGAGAAGCAGGAGTGGAGCAGTGGTCAGCCTCCATCTGCTGACCACAGACCTTTTACAACCAACCTTTATACTCTTCCAAACACTGGAAACAAATGAGAAAAATTCCAAGCTCACGGATTTCTGGATTAAAATAAGCTCTGGAGATGGAGCAAGCCAAGCAAATTCTCCCAGATCTGGATCTTGCCCATTCTTTTCAAGTTACCTAATTCTATTATGAAGCTAAGGTGTAAGTGGGAATTTAAATTTTAAACGCATGAGATATTGAGGTTTTCAGCTTCTTTTTCTGGTTCAAATTACAGTTGATATCTAACAGTATATATATTCTAGAAGAGATTTACACTACACTACTTAGATCTAGCTATGGCTCTACAATGAAAGCCAATAAATAAGAAAAAGAGAATCACAGAGAGCAAAAGATGTCTTCATAGCAAGAAAGGGACAAAGAACTACACCTAGACAGATAGAGAGCATAGGCCAATCTTGCTGTAATCAGCCTGACACAGCCTTCAATAGTTCTTTAAGCACTGGCATTGCTGGAAGGTGCCTCCAGAGAAACAGAGCACAGTGATGTCAAAGACACACTACCATGTTGCCAAGGATGAAACACATCAATTTAAACTCAAGATTAAAACCACTGGGAAGTGGGTAGGGGAATTGCTTTCAGCTTTAGATTTTGTTCTGCAAGCATAATTTAGTGCAGCTGATGTCACATAGTTTTGCAGAAGAAAAGCTGTTCAAATGGCACACGCGAGCCTGAAAGCGGTTCTTGATGATCCTTGCAGCATGCAATTACTAAAAGATGCTTGTGCTTTGTAAATGTTATCTGCAGTAAGATTGCCCCTGGACAGTCTTGCTTCCCACTTATTTTCTCTCCTAAACTTTTGAGAAGATGAAAAGCCAAGAGTGTCCTCAGCCTTGTCAACAGGTCAGAAGGGGAGCAGGGCTGATGAGGGAGCTTCAAAAGTTTCACTAAAACAGTGACATTAGGCTACTCCAGGAAATGAATCTGAGCTAGCAGGAAACAGCCCAAAACTAGGGAGAAAGGGCAGACTTTTTTGAATCCTTATTTTGGTTTTGGGAGCCCTGCACACTTTGGAAGTGCAGACGCTCTTTCCAGGTGCTACAGATGCAGTGAGCGTTAGCACAGAGCTATTTATGGCACTGATGGAAATGCCTTTTAAAACTCACCTTCTCCCTCAGTAGTGCCCAGGGATGTGCCAGGGCTGGCACAGTACAGGCTGGAAAGCACTGCTCTGGACTCCCTTCTGCTACTCCGATTTTGCTATAAACTGCTACTGTTAGTTTCATCACCCCCAAATAAAAACATGAAGGAGCCTGGTTATGAGCTCAAAGGGAAAAAATAATAGCAATAATAATGAATCAGAGCAACCGATTTTCCTCTTAAATTCCTGACATAATTTGTGATATAGAGCAGTGCAGAAACTCCTAGCCAATTAAAGCTTTTGAGCACAGTGAGCTTTGCTGTCCCTTAGCTCTATCTATAAACACAAGCTGCAGTATTTTCCAAAAGACCTTCTGGTGGAAAGGGAAGTGGGGAGGAAGCAAGCGAGGAGCTGATGCTGTTACTGTGGGTAAGGAGTAAAGGGGACTGCACTGCTTGGCCAAGGTCAGTCATTTACACTGTGAGGATGTCTGTGAGCACCAACATGACAGACCCGCTCTTTGGCCAGGACCATCCTACATCTCCAAAGGACTAGGAGATGGTTTCCACCAGGCATCACTGTGCTTTCCTCCTACATGTAGCAATGCCAATGAAACAGCACGAAACACACTTGCTTACTCATCTGAGAAAAACAGTCAGTAGAAACCTCCCAAAACCTGTTACACAGAGCTCAAAAACAGTGTCTTACTTTGATGCCCCCGATCCTGTGCTCGCCCTTGAACTCTTTGCCATTTTTCAGCCAGTAAATCGATGGAGTTGGGTTTCCGCCTGCCGGGCAACGGAAGCGAACTGTGTTGGCCGCGGGAACGGCTAGCAGCTTCTTCTCCATCTTATCTGGCCGGGTCCAGAAGGGGACACCTGCAAAAGAGAAGACGAGTTGAGCAGGCGCATGCTGCAGCCGAGGATATCAGCTGGAGAGCAGATGCATCCAAGGAGGCTTTGGCAGGCAGGGAGTGACAGTTAAATTGCTACCTGCTGCAGCGAAGATAAATGACACAGAAATACTTTCCAGCTAAATGATTCTCATAGATGGAGACAGGGTGTTTCCATTTTAGGTTTGCGATGAAAGGTTCATGACCAGGTTCTTGTTTCAGTAATGCCAGTATAAATCTAGAGGAGCTGCTTTTAAATGAAGTGTGAGAGTTATTACAGATTAGGGTGAGAACTGGGCCTCGGTGCGTAAAAAGATACAGATGTACCTTCAGGATAAGAGTAGCCAAGAAGCATGAACAGCAGAAAGATGTTGGAACAGTAAAAAAATATTGATAGGCCAGCAAGGGAGCAAAAATAAAAGTGTTAGCTGAATGCTCTGGAAAGTTCTGCTTCTCAGTGAGCAGAAATGTACTGCAACCTCCTTAAGGGAAGGAAAAAAAAAAAAAAAGGCAATGCCAAACTGGCTTATCATGTTTATGTTCTTAAAGTACAAGTGATTTTAGTTTTAAAGACTCATGTTACCTTTGAACAGGGATAAGTTTTAAAATACCAGTGTTAGCATGAGATACTTTTTATAATCTGCCTCCAGTACAGCAATGCTTCTTGGCATCACTACAAACATTACATATTAACTCCAAATTAAGGCAGCAGCGGCAGCAAACTTATTATACTGCAAAGAAAGAAAGTTAAAAGAAAAACAAGTTGTCTCCCAAGCTTTTTTTTTTTTTTTTCTCTTTCTCCCTGCTTAAGGGAACACTGCGGCTGCGCTTGGGGTATTTTTCCTGCCATGCTGTGGAACAGACCAACACGGTATCTGACACTATTTCCAGGGACCGCGTGCATGTGCATTAGTTTTAGCAGAATCTGACAAGCAGAACCAACGCTAGCAGGCCTGATGGAGGGTTTTGCAGCGCCTGCCGTTAGTCCAGAGTGGCCTCATCCTTTCCCTATTGCCAATTCAATATTTAGTTTTAATTTCAGCCTGGCTGGATACAACCCAGCTTGGTGGAAACCAGCGGGCGTTTGGCTGCTCACTCACACACTTGGATCAGGTCTCGCAAAGCGAAGCCGGCGCTTTGGGGAAAGCGCATGAAGGTGAACGGGGGCATCTCACCAGCTCCTGAAAACCCCAGTTTTACAGCTCTGCAAGCATCACAAGGGCAAATACTGAAGGCGCAGAACAAAGCTCTGGCTTGGCTCCATGAGCATAAGCGGGGGGTCTTAAGTCTCTGGGAAGAGGGAATGCAGAGGAGGCCATTTCAGCTGGCACAACATCTCCAGCAGACAAGTTCCCTGAAGCGAAGCGCACCCCCTCAGCTCAACCAACTCCAGAGGCTCTTCACAAATGAACTGTTTTCCCGGCCTCTCCTACGCGCCATGGCTGCCTGTTGCCTTTTAGCTCCCAGGATTTTGCAGCTGGATTCATATAGCCCAGGCAGGACAACCCCATGCACCCAACAATTTTAGCGCCTGCTAACACCCGAGACAGTCAGCTTCCCCTGTTCCCGCCTGGCCACCAGGACTACATCTGCTTTAACACCTCTGCAGCTTGGGATACCGGGCCAAAAATCCTGGGTGCAGAACAGCACGGCCAGAAAAAGTGTCGCATGCCACAGGAGAACATGGGCTAAGGCAAGGCTCGAGGTTGCTGTGAATATCTGAGCTTAGAAAAACCACCAGCCATCAGCAAGGAGCAGGACAGGGTCCAGGAAAGTTTCCGGCACAGAATATTCTCCATAATGGCAGGAACTGAAAGTAAGTGTCCAAGACCACATTCAGAAACAGTTCCTGGGAGAAGCTCGCAAAACATCAGCACTTGTAGTTTACCTTCCCCTAGAGCCTTTTCATTACTTATTTTTAAAGAGGTGAAGATTCGTCTAGTTCTTCTTTCCAGACAAGGTTTGCAAAGTTCTAGAGAGTTCTGGGGAGGAGGAACAAGGAGGGATGAGAAACAGACAACATTTTTACACCAGCTCTAGCTTAATTAGGAGAAATAATACTGCATGCGTGGGTGTAAAGAAAAGGGATCCACAAACACTATCACCGATCATCAAACAGAGAGCTCAACAGTACATTTTGTTCACCAGAGACACTGGCCATCCATCCGACTTGAATGACCAATTAAAAAAAAAAAAAAAAAAAAACCTCAAGCAATACTCGGAATAATTAATAAGCCCAAACGCTCATTTAGCAATTAGGAGCTGCGACAAAACATTGTACAGACAGAATCAGCTCTTAATTGTGCAATTTCCCCAGCTGACGCCTCCGAGGACACTGCCAGCTTTAATTGGAGATTATAGGGGCTCTTTGAAGATGCTCTGGCGACCCAGTGGGGGCTCCAAGCAAACAGATACAGATACGGAGGGGTAAGGAGCACTGGGGCAGAAGAGCCCTGTGTGAAAAGGGAGTTTTGTTTTTGTTTCAAAGCCAGGAAAAACAGCTGTGGAGAACATAGGTACTGGGAAACCTCCTTTTGCAAAGGCAGATTGCAGTTTGTGACAAGCCTGCGACAAATGCACAGATGAAGATGAAGATGAGGATAGAAGAAAAAGACTACTGGCTGAGCCTCAAGAAAAGGTTACATCCTGCTTTAAGTTACTGAACTCTTCATCCCCCAAGCGATGATCTCTTTCTGCACTGACGCTCAGAGAAGTTGATTAAAGGAGCATGAGCAGAGCACAAGACTCCACGCAGAGGCCCTGCCTCTATGTTCTTCAAGGATTTCTGCATCAATATTCATCCTTTATCACAGATTTCCTCTTCTTCCCTAGCTTTGCCATTTCCAGCGCCATCATTCAACACTTTTGGGTCAAATCCCCAAATTTCATGAGGCTGGCTTCAAACTCATGGCACCACTAGAGTCACCTTTCCAAGCTCTTCTCAACCTACAGGAGGACAACATACTCTTTAAACAACATAAGAAAGACAGCAAATTCCTCTGACATTTTAAGAGACAGTGTTTTGAGGATAGAAGAAAAAGACTACTGGTTGAGCCTCAAGAAAAGGTTACATCCTGCAACAGCCAGCTAAGATTGGGCTAAGCAGGGCTGAGGCAGGGGTAAAAGCACTCCACAAGACTCCTGTTGAGGACTTCTTCACGCAAATACTCCTAGACTATATCAGCTCCTTATAGTCCTTCAAGACCTGTCATAGACCTGTGTGGAGACACCTCCTTCCCACATCAGAGCTGTGGCCCATCATGGCGGGTAACTCTTGGTTATATTTTTCTTTTTGCATGAGAAAGGGGTGTTATTACCTCCAGTCCTCTGCTGACTACGGGCACGTGTGATGGAGACTGTTGGCTTGGGCAACTCGGTAAGAGGGTGTCTCTGAGCCAGGAGGCTGGTGGGAGAAACTCCACAGGTTGTCCCTCCAGCATGTGCCCACTCAGGGCAATGCTCTGCAGTGGGGTTTGCAAAGCGGCTCCCGCATGGAAAAAATGCGGGATTAATGGGAGGGCCTCATGTTCAAATAAGACACATTAAAGCATGCTGATGGCATGGAGGTTTGACACCCCAGCATGTTGAGCTTCTCAACCATGCTTAAAGCAGAAGAGAATCCAACTTTTTAGAGTGAGACCTTTAAGCAAAGCCAGCGGTTACCTTTGGGTCTAAAAAAAGAGACAGCGTTAAAGTCAAGAAGACCCAGAATAGAGGCTATAAATACATGTGGCAAAGTGTGTGTTTTCCTTTTCGCTGAAGAAAAACGTGCCTTTCTGTACCATAAAACAGCTCATGTTTTGTGATACCTGTTGCTAAGAGATGAAGTTTACTACAAACCACATAAAAAAAAATACAGAACGATTAATTGTGTAAATCAGGAGTCAGTCTCCAGTGGGCACAAATCCTGACCAAGACCGACCCATTCTATGTCTCCGATGGGCTTTGCCAAGCGGTAGGAGGACTGAGCATTTTCGAAGGTGCTTTTCACCTTGCAGGATTCAGCCTCTAATTAGAAGCTATCAGAAAACCACTAACTGCTGCTGACGGCCGCCTGGCTCCGTAACTCACAATTACTGTCCATATACTGCAAGACACGGTGGTACAAATTTATTACAGTGGGAGACCTGTTTAAAGAGTCCTACATGTCCAACGCTTAGGGTAGGAGAAATTTTCCAGTCATGTTGAATTCCTGCCAACGTACATAGCTGATTTGGAGCTCAAATGAAAGACATTTGTTTATTAAAAACACATACACATAGGCAGCCCGCTTTGCAGAAATATAAAGAGCATAATAAAACACAACACTAATGCCTATGAAGCGTGTAATGGTCCTGATTAATGGTATCGGACTTAAAGCAACAAGCACTGGGACTGAAAGAGATTCAGTGTAAAAGCACTGAGAGGCTTAGTGCTGGGGCTCGCTTCCCTACGAGTAACCTGAGCACACCAGGAAAGCCATACGAATTGCTCCTGCTAACGGCATCAGTAAATTTGGCCCTTGGCTAGTGTGAATTTTATTCTCCAAGTTGCCTCCGCCTCCAGCCAAAATGCTGGTAAGGACCAGGATTCAAATGGCTAAATATAAAGCAGGCCAAGATATGCAGGGTGTGTAAAAAGGCTGTAACTTTGCTGTAAGGAAAAAAAAAAAAAAAAAGATGATAGAACGGGTTTCTCTGGATTTTAAATACAAGGTGAATTCATAACTACAGCTCGTAAAGCCAGATTCACAGATTCAATTTTCCAAAAAAAAAAAAAAAAAAAAAGCCAAAAACTAAGCTACTGCTGCTGTTAGGCACCATAGGTGCTACACCACACTGGGAACTACTGCTGAATTTCTAGATAAATATCGTCATGCTGCCAGGTCCTGATAGTTTTATTACCAGTCCCAAGTCAAACTGATTTTAAATGTGGACTATGAGTTCCAGTTTGACCCAGGAAGCAGTCAGATAATATTATTGGAAGACTTCAAAAGGCAAGTAAAAGTGTTATTGCTGTTTCTCAGAGCGGCTACACAGATATCGCCTCAGCACGGATCCATCCATAGCATGGCCAGGAGCACATTGCTGCTCCCCAACTCTGTTGCATCAGACTTGGTCATGCGGAACCAGTCTGATCTCTGAAAATCTGCTCTTGGGGGAGGCAATGGGGGGAGGAGGAACAAATAAAGTGCTATACTTCCCCTTAATACCAAGGTTTTTTGGGGGTCCACATCTCTTTTAAAGAGAATTCTGTACCATAGGAAAGTTCATTACCTGTATCTTCTGATTCATCATCATCATCTTCATCATCACCTGACGAAGGAGAATCTAGAATAAGAAGGAGAAAAAGAAAAGCAGGGAGTTAGGCTTTTTGTCACTGGTGTTTGTGTATCCAGCCCTGTTTTGCATATGCAGAGTGAGAGTACCCCCAAGAAATGCTCTCAAAAAGGACACAGCTGTCCTCGGACTTCCAGTTCCTGCAGTTTTCTGCAGAATAAAAGATATCTCCTAAATAAAGAAACTACAGCAGGTTTCACAGCGTTTTGAACAGCTCCAAGGATGGAGACTCTACACCATCTTTGCGCAACTTGTTCCAGTGTTCAACCACCCTCGCAGTGAAGAAGGGTTTTCTTAAGTTCAAGTGGAATTTCGTCTTTCACTCTTTTGTCCTCATTGCCTCTTGTCCCGTCCCTGTCCTGCCCGCTGAAAAGAGTGTCTCAGTACACTCTCCCTTCAGGTATTTATACACACTGATAAGATCCTTCTCAAGCCTTCTCTTCTCCAGGCTGAACAGTCCCAGCTCTCTCAGCCTCTCCTTATATGACAGATGTTCTAGTCTTGTACTCATCTTCATAGCCCTTTGCTGGACTTTGTGACATTGATCACAACCCCCTGAGCCCAGCAGTTCAGGCAGCTTTCAGTCCACCTGTTATCTAGTCCATGCTTCATCAGCTTGTCTATGGGGAAGTTGTAGAAAACAGTGCCTTACTGAAGCCAAGGGAAGATAACATCCCCTCATCCACCAAGCCAGTTATCTCACTGCGGAAGACTATCGTTAAGTGCAATTTGTCCATTATAAATCCATGCTGACTACTCCCAATTACCCTTCTGTCCTTCATGTACCTTGAAAATGCACCCACAATTAGTGGCTCCGTCACAACACAGCGAACAAACAGAGCAATGTCTGCTCCTGGCACCCGTTACCCGCAGAGAAGAACGCACATGCTTCACATCCCCATCCGGGCAGACCCTCCAGCTCACCCCTCCTGCACTGCCGGGCCCAGCACGTTTCCACCTGCAGCCAGTACCAGCCAGGAGCTCTCTGAGCTGGGACAGAAACGCAGCGAGTTTACCGGTGTTCTGCCATCAGAGCGCGGGCGACCAATGCCAAATGCTTCTCCGTGCATGAAATGCTTTTTCTCTTTGCCAGCAAACAGGCAATTCCAAGCGGGAAAGGTTCTTTTCAAAGAATAAGCTCTCCCTCGCTTTTTGTTTCGCCAGCCTGCACTCAGTACTTTCTGTGTCACCGTCTCTGGAAGTGACAAGTCAGCGTTTCCCATTCACTTTCTCTGTGCTATTCCTCTACCTCAGTGCACCTCCGCACGTCTCCCCACGTTAACTCCTTGCTCATGCCAAAGCTCCTAAAACTTCACCAAATTTCTCTCTAGATGGTTGTTTTGGGGTGACTCCTCAAAATGGCTCACATTATATTCCATGTTATATTCCATCCACAGAGGCACCTCCAGGCTGAAACCAAACACAGGTTAGCAGGGGGAAGTTTCCATCAGTATCTCACACTGCTCAGAAACTTCCCAAATCCATTTCCTTAATGGAGGCTCACATCTTTCCCTTCCCAAGTTGTCCACAGTAAGTCCCAGTCCTTCTTCCCCTCAATGACTGGTATAAATGCAAGTCAATAACAACATAGCATCAGGCTGTTCAGGTGGCATAACGCAATTCAGTGTCTGGAAGATTTAGCCATTTGCATAATCTGCAGGAATTTCTTTTTTAAATACAGGCAAAATGATAACAGCACAACAGCCTTTATGCCCTGAGGCAGCAGCAAAAGAACTTAGCATTAAACACCAGAAAAGAGGAAAACCTGTGAGGGTTCAACATGTGATGCACCCATTTCTACTGAGCCAGGCAGTATCTCCTTCATTCCAGGATGTGCTCTCAAGTTTCCTACCATCCTCTAACCAACTAAGTGCTAAAAGCCATGGAGGTTAAAAGAAAAAAAAAAGAGGGAAAATATAACAAACAATATTTTTCTGCAGAATTGAGGAAGAATTTACAGAGACATTCACTGTACAAAGCAGTGATTAACACAGGAATCACTGCCCTGCCTTAGATTACAGTCGCACATCGTGCTTTGCACCTTCTCTTTGGCATCATCTCAAGAGAGATGTTAAACACATATATAACTAGCAAATACACAGTTCATATATAACTGCAAATCCATGTTAAGGTCCTCCTGGCAGCAGAACCAGAGAAACGCCATGGGGCTTGCTGAAAGCCAAGTGCATGTTGAAGTGTTTCGGTGGAACCTGCAGGTTCACTCAAGTCTCAGCAAAGGCAGAAACGTGGCCAAATACCTACCAGCATCAACAGATAAATGAGCAAATTCTCAGCCCTGCTCTGTAAGGCTTGGTTACTCATATATTAATATGTGATTATAGTTTCCCTCTGTTTCCAAATGTATCAATTGTCACAGGAGGAAAAGAAATTCAGCAAGACAAAGCAGGAGTTTTGGATCTTGCTTGTATTTCAGATGAGAGCTTTTTTAGGAAAGTTGCAGTTTCAGTTTTAAGAGCATCCCACGTTTGGTGCTACATTCCCATCCAGGGTACTCAAGTAGCCACCTTTTCCAGAAAGCGACTGAAAAATTGCTAAGCTGTCTGTTAGCTGTTTACTGAAATAGTAATACTTGACAGAAGGCGGTGGGAACTGGCATCCACAAGAAGTAGACCGTATTTCTGAAAGGGCCTCAATTATGCCAATGAAGGGGCTTCATTTTGCTAGCTATCTGTTTTGAAGAGCTTGGACCTGGGTAGTTAGAAAGCCCTTTTTGCTTGGTAACAACCTAACCTCAGTGCTAGCCAAGGGGTCCAGACTCCTGCTCTGTCTCCTTCGGCCACTAAATCTGAAGGCTGCTCCATGCACAAAATGGTTGTAGAAATGCAGCTTCTGCAAACAGCCCCAGAGATATGTTTGGACATAAAGTTTTTATCTGTAATTCACACAAAGCGTTTGCATTTCAAGCAGACAGAATGCTTTTTACTTGCAGACAAGTGCTCAAGGCCATGTGTGCCAATCGCGTCATTTTTTAAGATACTGAACCTTGCTATGAATCAATCTGTTTCTCAACTGAGAGGAGCGGCTTCTGTCTTCCTCAGCATCTGACGGTCCCTGATGCAGACACCAATTTTGGTTTACGACAGTCAACAGGGAGGCCTCAACAGCCCGCAAAGGACTTGGTGAGATGGGAAGCACGTTCGGCTCATCCGCGAGACCTCCCAGTGCCGCGACACAATGCACCCATATGGGAAAAGTCACCAAAATGCCAACCAAAGTATTTATGGGATCTGCCTGCAACACAACCACCTCCACTGCAAGCTCAAAACTCAAGGCCAGATGCAGAAGACTCGTGATGCGATGCTAGAACTTAGAAGCACTGACTGAAGCGAGACTTCCATGTATGTCACCTATTTTGCACGCATTTTCAATGTGGCCCAATGTTGCTCACTTAGAGCAGTGAAGTCTGTTAGCTCTGATTTAAACCAGCTTAATGCAGAGAGCAACCGCTCTGGCCCCTAACATTAGATATCCACATAAATATTCAAGGAGGCATCACGGCTAATCACTGACAGTACCGTTAAGAAGTGGGAACATACACCACGAATCTCAGATAACAATCTGGTCTCCGGAGAGGAATACCGAGCAATCAATACTAATTACAGAGAAATATCAGAGAATACAAGAGGCGCCACTATTGCCACATAAAGCAGGGCTTCAAAGTCTCCAACAAGCGTGGCTGACAGCTAAAACCGAGACTCCCACATTACCAGCACTGTGGTGGTAACGACAGCGGGCTAACAGAATCAAAGCCTGCAACGCCGTCGGAGCACAGGTTCGGGTTACGTGCTTGCTCCTAAGCTGTTATTAGCTATTATTAGTGAAGGGGGAAAACACAGGGGCTTAAACTTTTTAAAAGCTTGGGATTATCAGTCTTTCCACTATTAAAAACAATTTCTCACTTTACAAACTCTAGGGGTTGGCAGCTGTTTCATTTGAATGTGGAGCTGGCTGCCCTCTTCTGCTTGCCCACTGCCCCTTGAACTCCAAAGCATTTTAATGTGACTTAAAAAAAAAGAGTAACAGTTCTAACAACCTGCAATTCCTTGGATATTCCCAATAATTGTACCTAGCTAAAGAAAGCATTTCAACGGCCAAATACTTCTTTAACCATTTAATTGAATACGACCTTGAAGCATATGCAGCAATCTCCAGTAACGTTCAATGAAAAGCAGATGTTGGTGAAGGCTTGCTGAAATGAGCATCTATTTTCAAAATGGTTCGAGCACAAAATCCTGTTTCTGCTAAGGAAATCCTCTTTTAGGAATGGATGTAATATCTCAAGTACGTCCCAGATTTGCTATCACATACACCTCTGTGTTTAGTTTTCAAATGGAGCTCCTTACTTTTTTGGGGAACTCAAATTTCTGAATTTGAATTTTTGAATTTCACAGTAGGCAGGGCCCATTGTTTGGGGATGCTTGGTAAAGCTCCAGTAGTGCAAGGGAAAGGAAACATTTCAAAACTTTTTATCCATAGGGAGCCAGTTAATTCTTCTGAAAATTCAGGCCTTTAATCTGAGCTATCAGGAAGATACCTACGTGGCAGTCTAAAATAATGAGGAAGATCTTAGCATATTTTGCTAACTAGATGTGAAGAACAGATTTTTCTGGCACCCTCTGTTTAGCAATCCATGCTTGGACTAGCTTGCAGCTGTTCTGTCCTACTGTCCTAATCACGGAAAATAGTCAAGCAAATGACAGTAGGTGCTTCCCTAACATACCATTTGTCTGCAATATGTGGTTCCCTCTAAGTGCGTTTGATAGCACACAGAGCCTAGGCAGTCTACAGATGAGCTACTTCAGAAACAAGTCATCTGTGATAACTGGGGGAGAAGGAAGCCACATTTATCAGCTAGAACAGAAAGAGCTTTTAGGAAGCCCCAACTTCTATATCCAATTTTGCTATAGATTTGCCCCACAAACTGGAAAAAGTCACTTAACCTTGCTGAGCCACAGTTCACTCGTTCATAAAAGACTTCAAAGGAACACGTAGCATTGCATCTATTTGAGCATTCAGGCGGATTTGGGGTTTAGTCTGATTAGCACCCTTTCTAAGTCATCTTAGCATCCAAGCTTTAACATGTGGTATGGACATGCATCACTCTTTGATCATTTGCTTTTTGCCAGTCTAGCAACTGCTAGGACTTGCTAATGAGGTTGAAACCTCATGGGAGAAATAGTGCAATGAACCACCAGGGCTGAACATATAAAGAGGCAAAACTACAGAAAAAAAAAAAGGAGAGAAATAACTTTATTCCTGCACATACCTGTTACTCTGACTGTAAAGTTCCCCAGGACCTCATTGGAATGCCTCCGCTTGCAGCTGTACAGCCCTGAGTCATCGTAAGACACATTGATTATCTTCAACAGTTTTTGTCCAATATGAGTTCGGTTGGTAGGTGCAATCCCAATACCATCTTTAAACCAGAAAACAGACATGGAAGAGCCTTGAGTGTTACAGGAGAGTTCAATGGTATCTCCACTTCCGAACACCAACTCTTCCAGAAAGGCAGTCTCACTCCTCAAGTATTCTGCAAAGGAAGAAGAAACAGAAATGAGTAAGCAGGTGTCAGAGAACACAAGAACATTTCAAAAAGAAGCATACTGAGGCTTCCATGTGCCCAGAGTTCCCTTTTTCCAGATTTAAGCCCTTGTAAAGTTCTCTGAGAACCTGGATGACCCAATGACAACCTCTATAGGGTGCAGAAATCCAGAGAAAAGTCTGGATAGAAGTCACAAGCTGCAATAAAATTAATCCAACCTGATAGCTCTTTGTAAAAAAAAAAAAAAAAAAAAAAAGGAATGTGTTAAACCATGGGAGGTATCATCTAGCAGTCAGCAAAGCCCACACACATTGGGGTCACAAAGCACCTTTCTTGAGATATCCTGGCAACAATCCCAAAATGTTCTGGTGTACAGTAAAGGTGTGCTTTCTTGTCTTTTTCTTTCTTTGCTGAAGAAATAATTTTCTCTGAAAGTATCAGTATTTAGTCAAAAGAAAAGACAGACAAAACTCCAGGATCTCCTTCCTTCCACATCTGCCCCTGCTTTGATGCTACATGTGCGTTCACAGTCTCTTCCAAACTAGGAAATTCTGGGGTGAAACACAGCTGAGAAGAAGGAACCTGGGGCACCAGGTTACCTGGAATATTCAGATTTAACTGCTCATTTCAGTGGACTTCCTTCCTTCCTTCGGACTGTACGGATTTTTTCAATGGTACCAACTATGGCTTCCAATTAAAAGACCTCGGACATAGCTTCACACTTGGAGGACTGGGTACTGCTCTTTGGGCGTTGGAACTTGTTAGAAGCTCCTGCTAATTTAATCTACCGGAGAAGAAACCCCAGGCAGCTGCAAAATTCCTCCACATAAAACACTTGGTTTTACCCAAGCTGTTTGCCAAATGATCAAGACTTGTATATTTTGGCTTTTATATCAGAAGCCTACCAAACAGGAACAAGCCCAAACTAAGCATAAGCCAAACTGTACTGATCAACCATCTAAAAAGAAGCCACTTTTTAAAAAGCAATAATGAACCCGTGTTAATGAAAAAGGAACAAACTGCTTTTATTAAATGTACATTGGGAGAGATGAAACGAAGAACAAAGTTTCTTTAGAATCAGAGCAGAGCAACCAGGGTCTGAAGCATCTTCCATGGAAAAGACTGTCACCTCATTTCTGACAACTTTATTTTGACATCTCAGCCCCCAATCTCCCCAGTTGGTGTCTGACAGTTTCCCTGATTCCCATTAAATGCATACTTTAGTCCTAGCAACTTGGAGAAGGACCTGGGAAGACATAGTGGCAGTTAAAAGGAGAATGCTACTAGTGTTTTTTTTTATCTGACCTTTTTAAACAGTTTTGCAAATTTCAGTTTAAATGCCTATGGCTTAAACCAACAACAGGATGAGATCAAAGACCTCCACAAACTACTTATATGTGCACTTAAGTTCAGGCATGTGTTTAAGCACTTTGCCTAATTGGGACTCTGGCGAATGAGAGTTTACCATTATTACTTCTCACGTAGCTTTCAAATACAATGCCAAATCCTAAAGCAGAGATGGTCTCACTTCTGCACTGAGAACAACCAGCATTTTAAGCAGGGATCAACACCTCATGTATCCCCATCAGTGCCCCAAGCACCAATGCAGAGAGCCTAGATCCTCCCTGCCTGCTTTCCAGCAACAGGTACCTGATGTTTGCAACAAGGATGGTTCCTCTCCCATTCCTGGTCTTCTGCAGCCAGCAATGACATTTTTCTGTTGCAGCCAGCAATGACATTTCTCTGTTGGGGACAGGAAGCTGTGCCTTCAGAGGCCATAGTCTTTGGCCTCACAGTGCCATGCAAAAAGCTGGAAACCTCTTTTGTGAATTAAGTGTTTGCAAGAGCTCTGTGAGTAACTCAGTGCAGCCTGCGTTCGGTAGGGGTATTCAAAGCTGACCTTGGGGACGGAGCTCATCTGGGTCAGGGTTAGATCTCCCTCTTCGACCTCTGATCGAGGCATTCAGAAAATTTCAGGGCGAAACAGCACAGCTTCCAAGTTGGTGTTCACATGTGGGGCTACAAGCGCACATGTCCTGAACCTCAGCCCTGCACCCTAACACCACCATCCTCAGTGCTGGCAAGCAGCTATCTCTGATGCTTCCTTGAAAGCTTTCATCAAACATTTCTATTGCAAGCGAGGTTACAGCGTCCCTCTTCTCCTCTCCAAAGGAAACTCCCACCTGAAATCTAACTGGCCTTAACAGTGTCTTCTCAAAATCCACATTAGACAGTTATAAACACATACTTTCATAGGTATAAATTATTGTGGAATTAACTGGTGTAAGGGTTACGGGAGTCCACCCTGCCACTTGCCAGCAGTGCTGGAATTAATGAGTTTGCAGCTTTAATGGGTTCTTAGAGAGAAGGAGGTAATTTAGGTTGTGGGCTCCCAAGATATGACTAAAATTCAGCCATTTTTTAGTTTTGCCAAAGCAGTAATTGGTAGAAAATTACCAGGAGACACTTCTAACGAAGATCGGCTCTTGCAGCACTATCACTGCTGCATGTAGCAAATAATTAACAGAAGAAGAGGCAGTTTTCTGACAGTTTAGTGGAGGAAAAAGGCATGTGGCAGGAACTAGACAGAAATACACCTTCCACAACGAGGAGCAGCTGACCCTGCAATGCTAAAATGCTTTTGTGTGCATTCACTTATAAGGATAAGACACTCCATCTCCTTAGCTGCTTGGCTCATCCCAAGCGATAATTCACGTTCTGTGTGGTTTGTCGTTCCAAGTGCTTAAGCGTGTCAGTATTTCCATCAGATGTCTGCTCCTCTCAGACATCAATGCTTGCTTTGGGCTGAGCCTGGAAACATTTTATTTTGTTTTTAATGTCGGCAGCTCTCAAGGACTGCAGCAGGATGTTCAGCAATTTATTTTGCTGACACTAAAGGCCGGGAAGCGGAGTGGGGGATTCCTGGGCTGCCTCCAGCCCCCTGAACACTTTGAGCCAGCCTAAAGCCCTCCTGTCATCCAGGACATCTGCTTGGACCAATGATGCTGGCAATGCCCAGCCTTCCCACTCCTCCTTGCACGGTGCCAGGAATGACCCTGAGACCGATTCCACATGGTTATTTCTTTTTACCTGTGTTTTTCCTCTATGAAGAAGATTTATTCATCTGAAGTCTAAGTGCTTGGGAGCCTCTTACCAACTGCACAGGTATAAAGCCAAGGTGACGGACTGACTCTCCCACCACCCTTCTCCTCAAGGGAGCATCCCACAACGGAGGAACATTCATCAAGTATCCAAAAAGCAAAAGGCCCCGGCCCCACCAGGATTCACATGCCGGAGGCCTTGATGCATGTGACCTTGACCGAAACAGTCCTTACACCCAAACCAATCCCTCTATGTCCCAGGAAGTATTTTCCCGAGGGCTTTACAGGTTATTGGTGAATTGAACTAGTTGACTCTGGTGGCTCATTTATAAGCAGATTTTAGCCTTCTTCAAGCTGGACAAGTTATATCTGGCATATTAGCGAGGAAAAAGATAGCAGCACTCTATTCATGCCTTACTTCAGATTAATCTTAAAATATTTCCTGTTTTATGTATCCTATTGCACCAAATCCACCATGCCAGCATATATTATGGGACCACAGAGACACCACCATGCTGGAATGTTCTCCTTTTGCGTAAAATAGCCCATGACTAGCGTTAAAAGGAGTACAGAGGATCATTCCTATAATGCAACAGTCTGATGGAAAAACACACAGGAACAGCGCAAAGCACTTCCAGCCTTCATTTCACCAGCTCAGTTGTAAAATCAGAGCAAATAATGTTTTCTTTTTCCCCAGAAAGCACAAATTGAAGAAAAAAAAAAAAAAAAGGGCAGCAACCTATATAATTTTTTTCCCTTTCCTCACTGTGACGGCTGAAGAATGGAAAGTCTTCATGTCATGACAAGGAAGTGAACTGCGCATACCCTGATTTATCCATGCTGTAATACAGCAAGTCATGTCGAGAGGCTTAAATCAGCCTTGCCACCCCAAGCCTTTCCACGCAAGGTCGCATCTTTCCTGACATCCCATACTGCCCGCACGTGAGAGCCTGTCTCTGGCAAGGCAAAATATAAACCCTGGTCCCATCTTCCCCCTTCCTCTTCTCCTGGTATCAAGATCCTCCTTGGACCATGTTCTCCAGGGGCTGGCTGGGGAAGAGCCACCAACTCCCAAGGTCTGGGACACTTGGTCAAAGCAACACCATTTTCATCAGAGCTTTTAGCCAGGCTGCCTCCCTCACTGGAACAGCCCTGGGCGCTCAGACTGCAGGGGACAATAACATTAAAATATCCAGCCACTCCCATAAGAGCCTAAACAGTGGTTTATGAATTTGGGTTTAGGAAACCATGCTTACAAATGGTTTGCTGCAGTCATTGCAAGAGGTCACTTTATCTTTCACCTATTGTACTCTCCTGAAAAAGATTAAGATAGGTTTCATTAGAATACTGAAAGGCAAACTGCTTGTACTGTATTATCATTGCAGTAGCCTATGTGGCTGTTACCAGACAACACTTCTTCCAAAGATGCTAAGAAGCATGCTGTGTGGTACTACCATAGAATGATTTTTAGGGTTTTGGAGGAAAGCTTTTTTTTTTTTTTTTTCTAGAGAAATTAAAATTAGGTAGATATGATAGGGTAATCTGATTAGAATAACAAGCAGGTTTATTTCTCTTAGTTATATGCCATTTTCCTCAGAAACAAGAGTTTATGGGAAAAAAAAAAACTCTCTCATTTAGCTTAGCTATACCTAATGGTGACTCTGGAAGGACTTTAGAATAGAAAAGCAGATGTTACAAATCTGCCTTATCTACGGAGCAACTGTTGACTCTGTTGTGCAAATCCTAATTTACATCTGCATGAAAGGTTTCAGAGATTAAATGGTATTCAAGGAGGAATATTAGCTTTTCTCCCTCCCTCCAGCCCTCCTTTGAATGGATTTACTCCTGGCAATTAGCTTTCTGTTCCATCGGCCAAGTAGAAAACAG